GTTTGTAAATAGGATATCATGTCTGCATCTTGTACAGCAATTAGCCACTAGAAAGAATGTATACAATGTGTTAATTATTGAAACTGTCCTACCAGTTTGGTTTGAAACTGTCTCATTGCTATATGTTTCTCAATAAAATTATGGAAAAAAATCCAAAATCCTTGGATGATGTCTACCCATCTCTTTGATAATTCATGACTTAAATATTATGCTAAAAGCATAACGATATTTAAATGTTATAAAGTTAATACATCCTATGTTATATGATAAGGGAATGAAAGGAAATAAAACAAATATATGCATATATATAGATTGATAGATATCTCTATATATGTAATAACATATTCATAAAAACATAAATAGTCATGACTGTTACAACCCTTGTTTTATAACTGTAACAGACTTACAGCTGATACCTAGAGCCACATTCTTCCCATTCTGTATTACCTTTGCTCTATTCCCCTGTAGCTAATGATTTTTCCCTACAGGATGACCCAAATCTTCATTCCTGAAAGGTTTGGGCCATTACTAGTCTTACCTGAGTTGTGTTGTATTTTTCCATTGACCATGATCACAGGCATAGCAACACTATGAGATGCCCTAAAGGTTTTTCTTTACCCCAGATACATTCTCTTACTTTGATTGTGGAACAGTAGACCAAATTCCCCTTGGTAGTCAGGATCAATCTCTCCAGCCAGCACAGTAACTCCCTTCTTTGCTTATTGATTCAGGAGTATGAGGAACCCAAAGTGGCTGAACGGTATTCTTAACTTCCAGTTCAATGGAAGCATTGTTGTGTCTTCTGTGAAAGTATTCCTCCCTCTGGACTAGGACTTCCAGGTCAGCAGCACATAAAGTCTCAGAAACAACAAGCTAAAATTTTGCAGATGGGTGACTATAGGTAATGAGGAGCAGTGCCATTCCTGTTTCCATTTACTTTCTGGTCTCAAGGATCTTGGTTATGGGGAAAGAGCACCATATGTTGGATGCTAATTCCAAGTACATCATCCACCTGAAGAAGCTTGATCTGGTACTGCAAAGTACTGCATTCTAGGCAGCATTGTAACTGAGTCTTCCAAAGCCTTTCCACAATTCTATCTAGCCAGCTGCATCAGGATGATGGGAGACATCTGAGTTCCAGCTGTTGTTCAAATGAAGTGTCCCAACACTTCGTTTACTAGAAGAAATGCTATGTGGGATACCACGATGCTGGTTAAGGCACTGAGTAAATCTGGGAATGGTAATTTTTGTAGAAACATTGGATGTAGAGAAGATAACTTTGTATGTAGAGATTTGTCTATTACAAAACACTGCTACTTCCCTGAGGGAAGGTATCCAGTATAATGTACATGTACTGGATTTCTGAGGAAGAGTGACATATTGGGACCTGAGTAGTGTTCTGTGCCACCAGCAGATTAGGCACTCAACTGTGATGAACACCAGGGAATATAACCTGCATAACCTCCACCCCTGCCATCATGGCTGCTTTGTTCATGAGACCACTGGGTAATGGCAGAGGTGTGTGGAGAAGAGGATGACTGGTATCCACAGAATGAATCAACCAAATCACTCATCATGAAACTCCTTCTCTGTACCACACTTTGGTGAGCATCCACAGGGCACACATATATCTTCATGTTTTATCCATTCTCTCTACCTATGGCTCCCTCATGATACCTTGTTTCCAACTTCCCAATAATGTTCCATCCAAGTCTCAGCCTAAGAATGGGTATATAACGCAAACTGGTTCTTTTGTTTCTCCTTCCTAGAAAGGTGACCAGTCAGGTACACTGATCAGTGTGAACTATTACAGGGATCTTATTCAAGTGAGCTTTACATCACTGAAGTACCTGCCACAGGACCAGTTATATATCAGACTACCCACTAATAACCAGCTGCTGTGTAGGGCTCTCTGGCTTTTTACCCATTCAGTGAGCAGTATCAAGGCCTAGTTCATTGAGGACCTAGAGTACTGAATTTCTTCTTCCCAGAAGAAATTGTTATTACTTTATATATAGTGGTAAGATTTCAGATTAATAGAGCAAATATCAGCCATATCTAAAACTACACATAAAAAAGTAAAAATTCTTAAAGTAACACATATATTTTTGACAGTATTTTTGTTTGACACACATCATGAACATAGCAATCAAGCTGTGATTACAAATACATACAGGGAAAAAGCTTGACTAAATTTTGTTAAATTTGAAAAACTCCAAATGGAAATAAGAAAAGTGCTGGAAAACAAAGGTATCCATTACATAATGCTGCTTGCATTTGCTTTTTAAAAGTCATGTTTGGAAATGGAGAAAATAGTGGAGCAGTGATCAGCAGCAAAATGCAACCTCTGTGCAAGCTGGAATCCAGACACCTGGAAAATGACAACTTGGCTAAGAGAAAAAAGGTAGATCTCCAGGAAACAGGCAGGAACTGACACCAGAAAACATTAGGCTTTAGAAAAGTTCAAGAAATGGACCATGTGCAGAGAAAAGAATAAAGCAGTTTGGAAGCTCCCAGAAGAACCTGTTTCAACAGACACAAGGTAAGTACCCAGGGCTAGGAGCTCTATGGACTGGGCCGTGGTATTGGCCCCAGAAGGAGCCCACCGCTGTTGTGAACTGTAAAAGCAAGGTGAGGTTTCATTCCAAGGTGACCCTTTACATGTAGCAAGCAACAGCTGAACAGGGAATCAAGCACAACACCTGCTGTGTTGTCAGTGTTTAATCTAGTGCCTTTGCAAGAAGGGGGCTGATTAAAACTGAGACTCATAACAACTGCAAAACAACTCCAACAATGACAGGTGAGAGATAGCCAAAGGAGACATTGTACATAGGGAGGAGGGCTAAACATAGAGCACCTGAGAAATTTAAGCTTAGGCTGAAGACACAAGCCCCAACCACCACGGCAAGAAGCCAGGCCAGACAGGGTTTCAGAGAAGCCTGGATTTCAAAGTGCTGGCATTAAGTCTGTCTGCTCCAGGCCCTACCCTGTGGTCTATATACAGCAGAAACTAGTGATCGGATTGTTTTCCCCAGCTAACAGTGTGAGCAAGGACATGTCTCATCTTGGATGGTTGCCACAGCTTGGGGTCAACAGAAAAGCGTTTGAAATAGTGGGGTACCTCATAAACCTAAGATGATAAAGCCAAGCAGAGGAAACCATGACTTCCTGGATTCCAAAATTGTAAATCCTAAAAAGAAACCACTCATTTGAAAATATAAACAAATGTTCAAGGCTAGCCTAGACTACATAGTGAAACTCTAATATATATCTATTTCTATCTCTATATTTATGCATGACATATGTCATATACATGTGTTATCATATGTATGCAGTCTCATTACTCTTTCTCTTCTGTTCTTTCTTTACCAATATTTTTTATTGGGGGTCTCAAAAAGAAAAAGGGAATTTCACTGTTCTTTTCCTTTCTTATTTCTTATCCCCTTTTAATTTTTTCTTTTCTTATTCTCCATATATTTTCATTCGTTTTCTTCCTTTATCTTCTCTTCTTCTTTGTTCCTCTCTGTTACCTCTGTCTAATTATATTAATATTTTTTCTCCTTAACAGAATCTTCTATCTCACTTTTCTCTCCTCTTTCTCATCTTTCATTATTTAATTTTTCAAAAATGTCTTTCCTATACTCTGGTTTCTCTTCAGACTGTTTAAATCTTTTGCCTTTTACTAAAGATTTTCTTGGAGAGGAACAATTCTGTATATGGTTAGATTCCTAAATTTCTGCGTAAAAAATTTCTTTCCTCATTCTTACCTTTCCCACCCTCCATCATTGTTAGAATAGCAATTAAGCTTCATTAATCATCAAAATGTTAGTTAACTCTATGTTATTACTGCTGAATTCTATTGTTAGTGGAGGCACAGTTGTCACATTTAGTAGATATTTACTATATACCAATATTTGATTTTTCCAGTGTTTGTATTATAATTATACATCTCTTTTCTATGGTTAAGGGTAGTACATTATTGGTTCTTTTGGTAGGTCAATATCCAATTTGTTCCTGAGGGGATTTCACTGATCTTCTCAGACCCAAAAGCTATAACTCTTGTTGCACAGGTCCTACTTTACCTTGGTCTTAACCATCCAGTAGAAAAGTATAAAGATGAAATATAGGAAGTAAAGCCATGCTGTTATGTTGAGCTGTGGGGGACTCAGGTCAATAATTTCTGACATTTCCAGTTAAACAGAAGACCCAATGCTATTATGGTCTACTGGACTCTTTTAGAATATTTTGCTGAGTTTACACACCTATAATATTCAATAACGGAACTTCGAAAAAATAGGGTATACAAATGAATGTCCATTTTGTATCTGTGTATTCAAAGTGGTTAGGATAGATATATAGTTGCGTTCTCTTAATGAATAGAATGATTTGTTCTAATGGTGTTTGAAAATAGGATCTCAAGTCCACATCTTGTACAGCAATTAACCACTAAGAAGAATATATGCAGTGTGTTATTTGTTGAAACTGTACTTCTGATTTGATTTGAATCTGTCTCATTGCTATCTGTTTATCAATAAAATTTTGAAAAAAAAGAAAAAGAATTTTAAAAAAATAAATAAATAGATAAATAAAAATATCCAATTTGTATTGAGCGGTATTGTTGGTGATTTACTTGCCATTGCTAGTATCACATAATAAATGCTATTAATAGGTTTCCTCTGTGTGCCAACATCAAGATTACTTTTGTGTCATTGAAATCCATTCCCAGAGAACTGGATGCTGGGCCAAATATACTCATTCTCTTTTCTCAAATTAAGAGAGGAGGTCACATCTTGGGACACAGGCAAAGACCAACAGTCAGCTACTCTTAAAGTGCATCACTGAAAAGCAGACAGTAGCTAAAGAGTTATCCATACTAGTAACAAAGTCTTCCCACTATAAGCATCCACAGACCTCAGCACAAAACAAAGAATAGAAACCTGAGAAGAAACACAAGGTGCCGCCAACAATGCTTAACTCCCTCAAAGTTGATCTATGGGCCATTAGGGGAGAGGAAAACAAATGTAACACAGCTGAATTATTTGAAAGGATAATAAAAAAATTTAAAAACAGATCAATAAGGTGCTCTGTGAACTCAAAGAAGACAGAGTTAAACAGATAATAGATGTAATGAACAAAAAGAGAGAGTTTATACAAGACACTAAGACAAAGCTAACTGAGATTAACAAAATGATAAGAAAAATAAATTACGAGTTTAGCAAAGAATTAAGAGTCCAAATAAATAAATAAAAACTTAATGCAAAATGGAAAAAAAAACTAAAAAAAAAAAAAAAAAGAATTAAGAGTCCACAAAAAGGATTGAAATCCAGAAAATATGGGTAGCAGAAGCCACCAATGTGTGAACAGAGTTTCAGAACTAGAAGATGGGGCTGTTGTCAAAGATAAATTATTGAGTTACCTTAAAAATAACAAGAAAACATGAAAAAGAGGTCCAAAAGCTGCTAGGAGATACAGAAAATATTAAAATTAAGTGGAATTAATAAAAACAGAGAAGAACACAAATAGCATAAAAATCTGTTTATAGAAATAATAGCAAAAACCTTTCCAACTATAAGGGAAGAAAAAAATATACAGATGATTTAGGCATATTGTGGTGGTTGATACATTGTATCAACTTGAGGGGTGGGAAGTTTGGCTTTGTCAATTCAGCATCTCCACACTCTAGGGCATGGAAGCCCCTCCCTAGGGTGTGGAGGATCCTCCCTAGAATATAGAGGCCCCTCCCTAGAGTGACTCAGCACAAAAAGCATATATAAAGGGGTTGAGGAAGGATTCTGTGTTCCACTTCCTCCAACAAGCTTGATCTTCACAGCTGTGCCACTTCCTTGGAAGAGCTCCAGTCTTTTCACAGTCAGCATGTAAGAAAGGAGAGAAACTTGTAGATGACGCTGCAGCTGCTACTCCTTCAGTTTTCCACCACCATAAATGGCAGCCTTCTGCCTTGTGCTACTCTGCCTTAGAGCCAACTGAATATGGACTGAAACCTCCACTAACTATGAGCTAAATAAACCTTTCCTTCCTTCATTTTCAGTGTCAGGTATTTTGTCCCAGCAATGAGTAAAAAGTAGCTGAGACACATATGGAACCCTTAAAAGCTGTTATACAGAAACAATAAACCACTTTTAAAGGTAAACCCAGTAGAATTATGGCATATTTCTCAGCACAAACCTTAAAGGCAGAGAGAGCTTGGTGTGAAGTGTCTCAAGCCATGAAAGAAAAATCTTCCAACTCAGACTTAATGAATTCTTTACAACCCCAAGTAGGATGCATCCCAGGAGGCAAGTATGGTTCAACATATGCAAATCAATATATGTAATACATCATATAAACAGAAGCAAAAACAAAAATTTGTTCATCTCAATTTAGCTGAAAGTTTTTTTTTTTTTTACAAAATCCAACATCTATTCATGATTTTAAAAAATCCTTGAAGAAAATAGGTATAGAAGGATCTTATGTCGAAAAAAAAGAGAAAGAAAAAAAAAAGAAGGATCTTATGTCAACCCAAAAAAAGCTATTATGATAAACTAACAGTCAACATCCTATTAAGTGAGGAAAACCTGAAAGCTTTTCCTCTAAATTCAGGAACAAAACATAGATATCTGCTATAACCACTCCTGTTCAATACAATTCTCAAAACATTGGCCAAAGCAATAATGCAAGAGGAAAAAATAGAATGGATGTGTACAGGGAAAGACAAAGTCAAATTATCATTATTTGGAAATGATATGATCCTCTAGATAGAAAACTCAAAAGACTCCTAGAATTAATAACCAAATTCAGAAGCACAGCAGAATACAAAGTCAACACACAAAAATTTATAACTTTCCTATATACTAATAATAAACTCATTGAGAGGGAAATTAGGAAAATAGTACCATTCACAATAGCATTGAGTAAAATTAAATACTTAAGAATCAACTTTGGGCCAAGGAGATAGCTCAGCAGCATAAGCACCTGCCTGACAAGCACAAGGTCCCAAGTTCAATCACTGGTGCTACCAGAAAAGAAAAAAAAAGAATTAACTTCTTTGAGAATGTGAAAAACTTCTAGAACAAAAATTACAGTATTCTGAAAAAGCAAGTCAAAGAGGATATCAGAAAATGAAAAGATATCCCCTACTCCTGGAGAGTCAAAACCAACATAGTCAAAATAGCCATACTTCCAAAACTGATATGAAGACTTACGATAATCCCAATCAGAATAGCAGTAGCATTTCTCACAGAACTAGGGAAAAAAGCCTAAAATTCATAGGATCCAGAAAATATCCAAAAAAGAAAAAACAAGCCTGTGTAGCAAGAGCAAAGCAGGAGGCATCACAACCCCAGATTTCAAGTTATCCTACAAAGCTGTAGTGATAAAAACACCGTGGCATTGATGAAAACCAAAACAAACAAACAAAAATCAGACATAAAGAACAAAGGAATATAACAGCTCAGTGATGGCAGACCTTTCGAGGAGTGCCTAAACTGTAAACTCAACCCCACTTATTTATCACAAAGCACAAATACTGCAATTAACCCAAATACTGAGGTTTTAGTTTAGAAAAAACAACTCATATATTAAAATCTTTGTCTTAAAAAAAAAGCAAATAATGTATTTCCATGGGCTCATCACTACTGGAACAGAGGAAGCAGAAACAATTCTAGGCATTTTCAGCTATCTGACCTTTGAGAAAGCATGCACTAGAGGAAAGGCAACCTCTTTAATAAATGGTGTTGAGAAAACCATTTATTGACTATCCTCATGCAGCAGATTGAATCTAGACCCATATCTCTTACCATGTACTAAACTAAAATTAAATGAATCAAAGATATGTGTTAAAATAGAAGCATTTAATCTGATGAATGATAAATTAAGTAAAATTCTCAAAGACATAGGTGTACAGGTAAGGACTTTTTGAATAGCACTTTGATCGCACAAAAAAATGCTACCAATATCAACAAATGGATTGTATCAAATTAAAAAGGTTTTACACAGAAAATAAAACAGCCAACCGCGTGAAGAGACAACTTACAAAGTGGGGGGGGGGGTTTGGACAGAAATTGCTGCTATTCCTCAGAAGGCAAAGATATAGAATATATTTTTAGAAAACCTAAAAAAACTTAGATCCTCTCCCCATAATAAAAGATTCATGGCCAATAAATACATGAAAAAAATGTTCAACATTGTTGGCCACTGGAAAAATGCAAATTAAAACACAGATTCCATCTTACACCAAAAAGAAATCAAGTAATAACAAATGTTGGTAAGGTACTAGGGAAAAGGAATTATATACATTGTTGGTAGGCATATAAACTAGTACAGTCATTATGGAAATCATTATGAAGATTCCTCAAAAAACTAAAACTCAACATTCCATTCAACCCAGCTATTCCCCTTCTAGGCATCTTCTCAGAATAGTTAAAGCCATCATATTACAATAATACATGCATACTTTATAGCATCACAATTTACAATTTCTAAATCTTCAAAGCAATCTATATATCCACCAATAGATTAATAAAGAAAATGTGACATTTGCACATGATACACTGCTATTTTGCCATAAAGAAGGATAAACTTGAGTCATTGAAAGGACAGTGGATGCATGATAAAATCATATATTAAGTCAAATAAATTAGACACACAAACTTTAATATCACATGCTTTTTTATAATATGAGAAACCTACCTCTGGCACCACATGCTGTGCCAGGCCTGCCCCTGGGAGCGCTGAGCCAGCCACCGAGACTGGGCATGATG